CCCAGAACTGAGATCACATCTGCTGGACATAAGCACAGGGTGAGCTCCTGGTTCATGTTTCCAAACTGCCCTCCAGAGGGACTATGTACTCAAGGCCATACTGGTGTCAGAGTAGCAAAGGTTCAAATGGTGCCTAAGGAGATAGGGTCAGGCACTCCATGATGCTTATCTTGAAACAATTTCAAATTCATAGACACATGGAGGGATTGGTATAAAGAACCCCTGTAAGCCCTTCCCAGAGACCACTCTATCCACAACTGCTGCTTGTGTGGGCTTCATCTTTCTCCCCATCTTGTATGGACAGACGCACGTGCACATGCACACACACACTCACACACACACACACACACCTAAGTGTGCAACTTATTTTGTGAGAGTCTCCAATCAATGCACTGCCTGTCAGTACTAGTAGGCATGTTCCTTTTTGTTGTTGTTGTTGTTGTTGTTGTTGGAGACAAGGTCTCCCTATGCAGATCACACTGGCCTTGAATTCACTATGCAGCCCAGGCTGGCCTCAAACTCACGGCGATCCTCCTGCCTCAGCCTCCTAAGTGCTGGGATTACAGGCATGCACCACCAAGCCCAGCTTCAGCATACTTCTTCTAAGCAGGGAACACTCCCTTATAGACACATAGTACCATACTTTGGTCAGGAAGTGACATGCTGCAGACCTTATTCAGATTCCACCAAACATCCTAATGGAGAGTCTTACTATCCAGGATCACTGTCAGCTTTGTTTCCATTTCTCTGATTACTTGTGGGATTAACCCTGTCCCATCGTGGTTCATCTTAATTTCTGTTTTGCAACAGCCCCTCAAGTCCTTAATGGTTTACTGCACCCCGCTGCATGCTCCTTCAGCCCTGCCCACCAGCCCACCCTGTACCCTTCTCTCCATGGAGCCTGCTCCTTTTAGAACTGGGGCCTGGCACTCCTGTGATCTGTCCCCACTGCTACATGCTGATGCAGACCATAGACCATGGTCAGGGTGCCCAGGAACCTGTGGCCAAGTGGAAGGCAGCTCAAGCCAGCCCCACCCTCACTAGCCCAGCTATGTTCCCTAAGCAGAGTCCTAGAGATCAGTGTATTGGCCCTGTGGGCTCACAGCCTGGTGCTACCCACCTGAACAATGCACCTTCTCCGTGTGGCAGGGTGTGGGAGGGTGGAGGCCCTCAGGGCAGCAGGCCCCCAAGAGTAAGCCTTGCTAGTGGTTATTGGCGCCCAGGGCTCCAGGAGTGGTCACTCTGGTGCCTGCTGGTCCCTGGGTGATGTGGAGAGAGGCTTTGGCCCAGAGGAGGAGGCAAAGAGATGGGCATCCCAGGGCCTAGCCAACTCCTCCTCCTGTGCCCCAGGGGTGCACCTTCCCAACCTGAGCCAGCTGAAGTTGACTGGTAGTCGCCTGGGCTCCCTCAGGTAAGTGCAGCCTGGCATGAGGTCCTGCCCTGGGGTGGGGTCTGGGGTCCCCTGCCCACTGTGGTAGGAGTCTGGCCTCACCTTTGGGTGCTGGGAGGGTGGGTGGGCAGGGGAGACCTTTGCTCCAGGGATCCCCTAAGGGTCTCTCCAAGGACAGGTTCTCTGCTGGGGACCTGTGCCCCAGCATCTTCCAGTCTGGTTCCAGCCCAAAGGGGGGGTGGGGGGAGACCTTTGCTCCAGGGATCCCCTAAGGGTCTCTCCAAGGACAGGTTCTCTGCTGGGGACCTGTGCCCCAGCATCTTCCAGTCTGGTTCCAGCCCAACACCCCTATAGTTCTGTTACTCCAAAGTGAGAGGCACCCACGTGCCGACCCAGAAATGGGGTCAGGGCCAGGGTGGTCCCGTTACCTCCTCAGGCCAAGTAGCCTGAAAAGTGCTCACAGACCTCTGGCAGAAACCCCAACCAGTGGGGTGCTTTCGGCAGACCTTGCAAAACCAACCAAGGTGTGGAGCTTCCTGGAGTCCCAGAGTGTCAGCTGAATCATGAGGGTGACAACCTAGGGTGGCTAGTGATCCTGGCAATAGAAGCAGGTGGCCTCAACCTCTCTGACCATAGAACTTCACAAAACCTGCATCTTCTGAAACAGGGCCTTGACTGCTGAGAAAGCTCTGCACTCTCACAGCAGGACTTCTTAGTAACTGACCTAAAAGCCTTCAAAACTAGAGACAGCCTCATGGTTCTTAATTCCTTGACTACATAAGAACATCAGACTTCATTCTAGGGATTGGAGAAAAGAAGGTTTTGTGAAAATGTTGCTGGTTTAGCTGGGTGCAGAGGGCTCTGCTTTGACCCAGTCCCCAGGAGGTTGAGGCAGGAAGATTGCAAGTTTGAGCTCAGTGTGGGCAACTTAATAACTTAGCAAGACCCTGTCTCCAAATAAAAAGTTATAAAAGGGGCCGGGGATTTGGCTCAGTGGTTCTGCCATCTGCCATGCAAGCGCGAGGTCCTGAGTTCAATACAAAAAAAAAAAAAAAAAAAAAAAAAAAAGCTGGGGATATAGCTCAATCCAAAGGCCCTGGGTTCAATTCCCAGAAAAAACAAACAAAAACTACTGCTCTGTAGGGCCGGAGATTTAGCTCAGGGGCTCCGCCACCTGCCTCTCAAGTGAAAGGTCCCAAGTTTGATCCATGTGTGAGTGGGCACACTACTGGTCTTATGTAGCCTGAGCCCATTGGCAGAAGGCAGGGGAATTCCAATAGATTTCTAGAAAGTTCTCAGCTGTCTGAATTGGGCTCCGAGTACCTATGCTATTCTTTCCAGGTGAGGTGATAAAGGCGTTTATTAAACAAGTTCATTTTAAATATTGTCTTGATTTTCCTTCTTTGTGGTGCTGTTTATCAAATAAACAGGCAGAATTCAACAAAACATGTAAAGATCTGGAAATGGAACTGAAGCCAACCAGAAGCCCACAGAGCTGGAAAGGCAAGGCGAGGGCCCTCTTCCCACGTGCAAGACCCACAACTCTAACAGGGGAGGTTGCCCGGAAGGATGAAAACCACAAATGGGAATTGGAAGGTGTTATAAAACCAAGAAATATGAAGTACAATTTGTAACAGAACAAAATAATTCCAAGGGAAATGTTGAGATCATAACTTTTTTTTCTGGTACTGAGGATCAACTCAGGACCTTGCACTTGCAAGGCAGGAACATTGCCAGTGAGCTACATACCTGGCCCTTACATCGTAACTTCCATGAAAACGTGTACAGGTCTTTGGTAGTTGTGTCCAAATGCAGTGAACTGTCTTGTATTTCTGGTTATCCAGAATCTCAGCCACATGGTGTTTACCAACCTCCATGGGCTGAAAATGAACAAAAATTTGTAAAAGGAAACTGATTAAATAGAGCATTCCCACCAACATCAGAGCTCCAGGATTATAGGTGGGTGCCACTACATCTCAGGTAAAACTGCTGTATCCTGGCTGACCCCAGAATCTTGAGTATATTAAAATATCAGGCAGAATTTGAAGGGCTGGGAAAGAACATTGGCATCGTAGCTGCCTATTCCTCAGAAGCTGAAAGGATCCATTCAGAAACAGTGCTGCTGTGAAGGCTAATATCCTGGACATGTGTGTGGGCCACCGTCACCAAGTGGCCACCAGCCTGGCGGCAGAGTCCCCAAGTCTGGCAGGTCCAACAGAAGGATTCAGCACCCATCCCTGGCCAGGGCTGGCACATGAGAGGCCACTTTTGAAACTGGACGTGGCTGAATGGACGTGTTTTGTATGCCCTATGCCCAGCCTCCTCTCCTCACACTCCCTGTGCTAACTGCCTAGTTGGCTTCTGTCCTCAGGAAGCCTTTGAACACCTGGGACTGTTTTACTCTTGGCAGCAAAGGCCTGTGCACTTTCACCCAAACACACTTTGCTTGTCTTTGCTCCCCTGCATCAGTTCCAGCCAGTGCTTTGCATGTCATTGGGAAGGTGGCCTCCACCCCAGGCCATAGAGAACCCCACCTTTCTTCCATCTACCTGTGGCCTCTTTCTACTCCACAGGCCTGCAGACCATTCACTGCAAAGCTTCATTCCTCATGTAGACCCTCCTGCCTCAGTCTCCTGAGCAGCTGGGATTATAGGTGGCCATTGCCACTGGCAGCTAGAACACCTTTTTGAGACTGGTTCAGATCTGGAGATTTATGGATGGCTATCAGTCCAGTCAAGTTTTGTGTTCATGTTGGTACCAGCTATGCCTAGTTTCAAAGCTGTCAGTGTATACTTTTTTGTTTTGGTTTGGTTTTGGTACCAGGGGTTGAACTGGGGTCCTTGCGCTTTCGAGGCAGGCACCACTGAGCTAAATCCCCAGTTATGTCAGTGTACACTTTATGCTGAGTGGTCTTCTGTTATTGTATATCACTGCTGGGCCCATTATTCCTCTTTTTAAATTCTGCACCTATCTGGGCATCGTTCGTCTTTCTCTGAGTCCCTGATGCCTCACATAGCACTACTATTAGGAGAGGCAGCCCTGGACTCTGTTAGACTTTTCTTGGGCCACTGCTTCCTTCTCTTCTCCATCACACCCTTTCTTGGTCTTCCTGTTGCATTTGTTCTTTCTCTCGGTCCTTGAGCTAAGTGTTTGGTTCAGTTGTTCTAACCCTTCCAGAGTCTTAGTTACTTTTCTCATTGCTGAGACAAAATATTCAACATCCAAAGTTAAAGGAGGACAGGTTTATTTGGCTGACAGTTTGCAGAGGTTTCAGTCCATAGTCGGCTGGCTCCAAGGCAGGGTGGCATGGCAGAGGGGAACTGCAAAGGAGAAACAGCTCATGGCAGGCAGAAGGCAGCAAAAGCAAACATTTTATCCAGGCTACCTGCCCTTAGGGCAGATAGCACTCACCCTTAATCCTAGCATTGCATGTGAATCAATCCCAGCACCACACACTCTAGATCCAGCCACCTCTAAAACCCCACCTATGACCAGATGAGGCTTTGGGGGAGGTATCAAGACAATCCATAACATGAAGTTTTAATAAATCCATTGATTTCTCTTCATATATAGCTTCAGGTAGAATTCCATACATGCTATAGGCTTTGTCTTTGGTCATTCTAAGAATTTTGTAATCTTCCTATTTCCCCTATCTTCTCTGAGTATGGCAACATCTACTGGCCTGATATACCCCCATGACAAAAGGTGCACCCACCTAGCTGGGCCTGTGGTCCCGGGAGACACCAAGGCTGCAGGACTCCCTTGCAGTAGGGCTTAGCCCATGCCTGCAAAGGGGTGGACCACAGAGCACACTGCGATGGGGACAAGGACAGCTCTGAAGGCAGAACTGCAGAAATCCCAGGGCAGCCCTCAGAAGACCAGAAGGAGGAAATGGGCAAAACCATGAGTTAAATTTGAAAGAATCACTAAAAATATTGAACAGATTGAAGGAGGCTTGTCAGGGGGAAAAAATAAAAAAGGTTCCCACTGGGCATGGTGGCACACGCCTTTAATCCCAGCACTTGGGAGGCTGATGCAGGAGGATCACTGCGAGTTCAAGACCAGCCTGGGCTACATAGTGAGTGCCAGGTCAGTCTCAACTACATAGTGAGACCCTGTCTCAAAAAACAACAAAAAAAGAAGAAGCCTTACATCTGTAGACAGAAGAGAGAGCTGAGCCCCAGAACCATCCCAGATACATCCTGATAAAGGTCCTGCCTTCTAGGTCAGGGCAACATTGTGGGCAGCCAGGAAAAGAGATCAAGCTGGATTTTTTCTTTTCAGTACTGGGGACTGAATTCAGGTCCTCATGTGTGCTAGGTAAGCACTTTACCACTGAGCTACATGTCAGTCCTTTTTTCTTTTATTTTGAGGCAAGGTCTTAATAAGTTATTCAGGCTGACAGACTTTAGATCCTCCTGCCTTAGCCTCGTAAGTAGCATGCACCACAGTGCCCAACCCAAGTTGTCTTTTGAGAGTGAAAAAGCAACTGTTTCCTCAGATTTCTTCATTGAAATACTTGAAGCCAGAAGTCAGTGGAGCAATGCCTGGTAGGAGCCCAGAATCTTACACCCCTACAAATGGCCACGTGAGCAGAGGCTGCAGACCTCAGTGAGCAGCTAGAGATAAAGGAGTTTCCATGAGCTACCTGGAGGGATAGCTGGACTGAAATCCCAGCCAGGGGCAACAGCAGGACACTGGACAGGCAGAGGTGGATGAGTGCCTAAGAAATAAGCAAAGCAGTTGTGAGCTGGAGGCAAACAGCTGGAAGAATTCATGGGCACCTAAGCACTAAGGCTACAGTGTGTGCAGAAGAAAGGGAGCAGCCATCAGAGAGAAGCACAGCAGACCCCCCCACCCCAGGGTAGAAGCTAGCTGTGGGACACAGGTATGCCCTGAAGATGCAGCAAAGGTCAGGTAGGGAGGCACGGCAGTGGACAGAAGGTCAGCCTGGACCAGGTAACCCAAGGTAAAGGCAGCTCAAGCCTGGGCCCAGACCACCCAGCACTGGAAGAGCTAGGGGATCCTCTATTGGTGCCCCAGACCAGGAGACTGCAGCAGGGACTGGGGCCTTTTCCTATGCTCAGAGGTAGCCAGACACAGTGCAGGGTGGCACTGACCAGCTATCCCTTCCACAGAGACCTAGGTACCTCTCTTGGCCGCCTGCAGGTGCTATGGCTGGCTCGCTGTGGCCTGGATGACCTGGATGGCATCAGCTCCTTCCCGGCACTGAAGGTGGGTCTGCAGCCCCCAGGGCAGGGTATGAGGGCAGCTAGGCAGCCATTGAGACCTCTTTGCCTCCAGGAACTCTACGTTTCCTACAATAACATCTCAGACCTGAGCCCGCTGTGCCTGCTTGACCAGCTAGAGGTGCTGGATCTCGAGGGCAACAGCCTGGAGGACCTGGAGCAGGTGCGCTACCTGCAGCTGTGCCCGAGGTTGGCCACGCTCACCCTGGAGGGCAACTTGGTGTGCCTGCAGCCAGCCGCCAGCCCAGCTGACAAGGTATGGGAGCCAGGCACCCAATCAGCATTAGCTGGGGGGCAGCTGGCTCCAGAGTGTGCCTACTGTGAGCTCCAGCTGGAAGCCCATGGCTACCAGTGTGTTCTCTGGGGCCAGCCCGATGAACCCAACAGGCACATGCACACATGTTGCCACTCAGCCCATGCTGTGCCCCAGGAGATCCGTGCACTGAACCATTCCTGCCTAGCACAGTGTCCACAGAAGCACGTACACACATGCGTGTGCACCTATACAGCCACATAGGCCCTGTCCAGTGCCACCGTGGCCCCTGCAGGCCTGTGTGCTAGGCAGGATGTATTCACACATTAGCATGTGTGTACCCTGCTTGGGGCTGTCACCTACATGCCTTGCAGGACTTGGGCCCCTGCCCCTGCATGGCAAGGTGTGCCCTGCACTTATACTTGGAAACACCTATGCCAGATCCAGCATCTAACCAGGACAGAGGGGCCACTCCACTGAGCTAGATCCTGAGCTCAGGGCAGCCCCAGTGGCCAGGGGGCATCCCTGAATCCAGGCCAGGGCCTGAGAGTAGAGAGGTCATCTGTCCCATGGTCCAGGGGGCAGGGCTGCAGGAGGAAGACCAGGACCCAGGAGGTTTGAAGGGCCCAGGGGACCAGGCCCACTGCCCCTCCCTCTTCCATGCAGGCGCCTGGGTGCTACAACTACAGGGCAGAAGTGAGGAAGCTCATCCCCCAGCTGCGTATCCTGGACGAGGTACCCACCACATGTACCAATCTGCCTGCCCCCCGGGAGCTGAGCCAGGACTGGCTCATGGTGAAAGAGGCCATCAAGGAAGGCAGCATGCTGGACAGTGTCCTCCCCTCACTGGGTAGGGAAGGCACCCACCTGGAAACCTGACCACTGCCCGGGCACACCACCTCAGAAGAGGCCTGGGCCTGGCCTCCAGGAGGGAAAGCCCCCCCCCCACCCCAAGGTGCATGGCTGCCCCTCATACCCTGCCCCTGGCCAGGACACTGCCCTCATGAGCAGCATGTAGGCCTTCCCTTGGTCTGCAGAGCAAGGAGGGTCTCTCTGGAAAGGCAGAGACTTGTCAGAGGACAGCCTTGAGCCACACTGCTTCTTGATGGCAGCCATGCTCTTGGGACAGTCCGGCTAGCTGGTGTGGCCTCTCTGACCTCTGGTTCTGACCCTGGCCAGATCACACCCATGGAGCCACACTGCACAAACGTGACCCAGCGCTAAGCCTGCCCGAGACCCCACCCTGGGTCTTGTCCCTGCTAGGCCCAGCAGGACTGACTGAAGGGCTGCTCCCTGAGGACCCAGCCCCTGAAGACCACGCCAGCAACCTCACCCATGGTAACTGACCCACCCTGGCCCAGACTGATTCTGCAGCCCCAAACCCAGATCAGGCCCAGCTACACCCTCTTCCTCAGGTGCTGGTCGGGTCCTCTGCGGGAACCTCACCAAAGGCCTATGGGAGCGTAGGCACCAGTGCCAGGTATGTTTGTCTCATCCCTAAATGACTAAGCCAGGACTCCAGCCCAGACAGGGAGCCATCTAGGCCTCTACTCCTCAGAGGAACCAGCATCTGGGGCCTCTGGTGTGGCAGTGCCCTGCTCTATAGCCATTCCAGAGCCAGGGTTTCCATATCAGTCCTCTTCCTCTCCAGGCCCAGATGCCACCAGAGCAGCTGCCCCTACCTAGATCAGGTCTGGCTGCCACCCCCGCCACCCCACAACCTGACTCTACTACAGACAGCCATGATCTGGTAGTGGCTGGGCTTCCAGGCTGGAGGGAGCTTGATCTGTGGTGGGTGCCCTCCCTTTGAGCCCTGCTACTGTGTGTCCCATCTGGCCTGGGGGCTTGGAGCTGGGGGACCCTTGGTAAGGGGTCACCTGTTCTGGGGGTCTAGAAGAGCTGGTGGTGGGAGCCCCAGCCTGGTGGGACAGGCCAGCATTGCCCTGCAAGACTGGACCTCAGCTCCCTCTTCTATAGGCCACTGGGATTCCAGCAGGAAGGGGCTATAGCCCCCCAGGACCCTTGGAGAACCTGTGAACAGCAAGAGGACCAGGCTGGGCCCAGGCCTTCCCTAGGCCTGGCCTCAGGTACTGTATCCCCACCTGCAGGCAGGCACCCCCACCTCTACCTACTAGCTCTGAAGGGCTGTGCCAGACAGTGCTCTCCTGAGGGTGGGGCCTCACAGCTAAGGGGGCCAACTCCATATCCCCACCAACATGCTCAGTTCTTGGGCAGAAGACAGGAGGCCTCCAGCCCCACTGGAAGACCAAGGCAGCACCTTTGCTGGACTCAAGGATGCAGGATCAAGCCAGGCAGAAACCTTTAAGGAACACTGGTCTACGTGACCACAGCTGGGAGGCAGAAAGCCCCTAGCCCTGCATGGTAGGGAAGCCTGGGAAGGGAAGCTGCAGCCAGGGCAACAGCAACAGGGACTGAAGGTCAGCACACTGCCGGGGGTGCCAAGAAAGGGCGGTCTGCCTGTTACCTGGGGGCATGGCTAAGACAACCATGAGTGGCCACCAGCATCTCCAGGCAGGTGGCCAGGAAGAAGGGTGACTGGAGTAATGACAGGGCAGGGACACTCTGGGTAAAGGGGTGCTTCGGCCTTTTGCTCCAGGTACCAAGTCCAGCAAGGCCCTGGATGACCTTGACCAGCTGCCTCACTACAGCAGTTTAGTTACTGACCTAGGACCATCAGCCCTTGAGCAGGTCCTAAGGGATGGGGTCTGGGCCTTCTGGCCTCTGCCTACCCTAAAGTGGCCAGCCCAAGCAATGGTGAGAAGTCGAGGTCCAGGTCCACAGCCTTGTACTCTGGGGAGTACTCTAGGGAGTAGGCCTGGGGAACAAGGTTGCTGCCACCTCCTAGGCCACAGAAGACACTCAAGCCCTCTTTGGTTGTGCCACTACTCCTACACACACACAGCTGGCCACCATTCCTAGGCTGGAAGACCGTGGTGTGTAAGGCCCCTTTACCTGGAGACCCCGTATTTGTTAGGGCCTCCGTGACATGCTCTTTCCTTGCTTTCCAGAGCCTTCCAGGACACTGGGCTGCCACCTGATCCCTTCTCCTCCCAAGAACCCAATGCCACCTGACTCAACCAGCAGCTCCCCCCAGAGCTCTGCTGACCTGCAAGTCAGAGGACGGAGGCTCAGAGCCCTGGGCAGCCTAAGGCCTGGCCTGGGTGAGGGGTTGACCTCAGTGACCACCCTGAGAGCCCTAGAGGGTACCTCAGGTCCCACCCTCAAGCCTAATGATATCCAGAACCAAAGCCAGCCCTGGATCCAGCAGCCAGACCCCCAGCCCTCTGCTGCTTATGGTATCTGAGCCCTTCACCCCAGTCCATCCCCACCCTTGGTGCAAAGCCCACCATCAGGCTTGCTTGGAATAGTGCCCAGCAGGCACCCCTGGGGTCCTGGGAGCCCCTGTGGACCCTGGCCCCATAGACCCAGAGCATCTGGGCTGGGAGGGTGGGAGGCGGGCCTGGCCCTGGAAAGGTCCTGGGTGGAAAGGAGTCGGGCTTGGGGCCTTCCCTGGATCCTGACCTCCCTGGGAACAGTCATCCAGGCAGACCTGGCAGAGAACTCCCAGATGCGGTCAGGCCTGGGCCAGGTGGCTGGAGCTGGCCTGGGCTTTCTGGGGGCCCAGGGACTGAGTGGCTTACCCCACCAGGCCTCTCATCCCAGGAGGATCTCTGGGGCTCCCCACTTGAGGGGGGCGCAGTTCTTCCTCTTGGGGCAGGCATCCCAGAAGGCAAGTGAATCATTTCGACTCTCTTGGGTGTGCAGAATGCAGTTTACTTTGTAAGTCTCATTGGTCAATAAATGATGCAGCTGGATCCCTGCATGGTCTACACCCGCCATAGGCTCAAGTCCGCAGTGATGGGTGGGCAGCAGAGGAAGCGGAAGCCGAACCTGCTCTCTGCTGTGCTCTGCACCGACAGGGCTACCATGGGGCAGCCCAGGTCCACGCCTCTCCGGCACACCTTGGGGGGTTGAGGCCTGAGCACAGGGGCTGGCTGCACCTTGGGCAGGTAGGGCAGGTTAGGGTTAGAGTCAGGGTGCGCACTCACGCAGACACTGCGCTCCTTGCTGTGCTTCTTCCCGCCCATGCAGGGCTCCAGTTTCCGCGCCGCCTCTGCCAGGACAGACAGACAGAGGATGAGGTTGGTAGTCAGGTCAGGCATGTCCTGGACCCCGCACCCACCCCCAGAACCCGTGCTCACCAGGGATGGTAGGCAGAGGCTCTGGCATGACGAGCTTGGCACCCTCAGGCTGCTCTGGCACCTCCCGCAGGTGGGCAGGCTTCCGGGGACTCAGGAGAGGCATGAGGCGCTGTGTCCTGCCAGGCGAGCAGGTGGTGAGGGGAGTCTGGGAGCTGAGGTGCAGGACAGCACTGGGCCAGGGGGTGGAGTGCAGGGCATCCAGGAAAGGGCTTGTGGTGCCCACCCCTGCCTTCGGCGCCCAGCCCGGGCCTCCTGTACCCGGCCCTGCCTCGGGGGCCGAGGTCTGCGCTGGAGCTCCCCCAGGTTGGGTCTGGCCCCAGCCTCGGGAAGTGGGAAGCAGTCAATGGACCAGTCGGTGTTGTCAGTGAAGATTCTGGAGCCTGAGGTCACGCGGAGTGGCTCCTGGTACTCACTGAGGACCTGCAGGCCACAGCAGCGAGTGGGCCACCCCATCCCGTGAGACCTGCAGTTGCCCCCCAGGGGGCCAGGACCCTGACCTGGCCCTCGGTGTCCAGGAGAAGCGTCACGCAGCCCCAGCCAATGTGGAATTGGAGGGGGTCCTGACTGGAGCACAAGGGCAGCTGCTGCTGGACGCCGCCGGTGCCTTCTCCCCACACCTAGAACAGCGGTGCAGCGTGAGGCGGGGGTGGGGGGCAGGGGTGCAGGCAGGGCAGGCACCCAGGGCTCACCGTGAGGTGGTGCCTTGGCTCCAGCACTGTGCCGCGAGGGAAGCGGAACATGCGCACCGGGCAGTCACACACCCACTGCTGCAGCACCAAGCCACCCAGGTCCGCAGTGTCCTGTGAGGAGCAGTTGAGGATGCGCACGAACTTCTCCCTGCGACTCACAGCCACGATCCGCAGGCTGCCACTGCCACAGGCCCGGCTGGGGTGGGAGAGGGTGCTGGGTGGACGCCACCCTGCCCTTTTGCCTGCCCCACTCACTCTGGCTGGACCACCCCTCACCTCGGTGCATGCTCGGCCGCCCCCAGCTCCATTGAGATCTGGCCGAACTGGTGGGAACTGCATTTCCGGAGATCTGGGGAAGGCAGCCCTTTCCCGAAGGGGGTCACCACTTAGTATCTAAAGGGGACGTCTCCTGGGAGACCAGAGCAGGTCATTGGGAGGGAAGGGGCGGACTCTGGGGGCCGAAGGACCTGATTTAAGGCCCTGGGCAGAAGTGGAGTGCTGGGGAGGCCCCCACAGCCTACCTTCAGAGTCTCCACTGAAGCTCTTTGCCAACACCTCCATCTGCTCAGAAGAGACAGTGTCTGCAGCTGGTGGCGGGTGCCCTATCACCTTCTGCACCCGGGAATGCAGAACCAGCTGGCAGCTGCTGGAGTCGGACTCAGCAACTCCCAAGCTGCTGGTGCCCATGCAGGACAGAGTGCTCCACTCCAGGCTCTTGTGCTGCTTCCCCACAAGCTTGCCAGGTGAGCCTGGTGAGTCCAGCCCTGAGGGCAGCTGGGGCTGCCTGGAACCATGCTCTGCTCACTAGCTGCCCTAGCTCCCAGACCCCAGCCTTGTCCAACTGTGCTCCCCTGTACCCAGGACACAGATCCCATTCCTGGCAGGACTGTGATGGGCCAGCAGTCCCTTCCCTTCCTCCTCACCATTCTATAGATCAGAGCTGAGGACAGAGGGAAGGGTTTGTGACTCATCTAGTGACACTGAAGGGTAGAAATGGGGCCCAGTCCCTTTCTGCCAAGGGAAGCCCTGCCCAGCAGTTACTTTTGCTCTGAGCTGGAATGGATGCTGGTGAGGAGGTTGGGGTACCGCTGAGCAATGCTGTTCCAATCCACATCCTCCAGCCGGAAGCCCTGGCCAGAAAGCAACAGGCACAGGCTCTACTCACCTCAGAACCCAGAGATCCAATCAGGTATGGAGGAGATTTTACTCACCTCCCCAGTAGTGGGTTTCTGTTCATCCTCAGAGAAGTCCCCAGGCTCCATTAGAGTCTCTGCGGTGATCACCTACAGGAAAGGCCCACGGGCCAGTGGACAGGGGCTGGTAGGAGGGCACTGCTGCCTTCCACACCTCTCTCCCCTCTGTCCTTCCCAGCAATTTGTGTCGGGTGAGTGAGGCAGCAAGCCAGAAGATTCCCAGGCTGGCCAGGAATCCCCAGAGATACTGGCTTGGATGAGGGCTGCTGGTTGCCCTGGGGAGGCCCAGGAAAGGTTGCGGAGGGATGCAGAGGAGTAGGAGGGTAACAGGCCAGGTCATAGGCTCACCTCCACACTGCCTGTCTGTGATCGCAGGATGCGGCCCACCCAGGAGGACTGGGCTAAATGCAAGAGGCAGGACTTCTGGAAGGCCTGCAGCTCAGCCTCCAGTTGCTGCAGCTTGTCCATGGTCTGCGCCAGCTGAGCCTCCAAGCACTCCCTCTCCTGGACAGGAGTGGTAGGGAGTGAGGAGTGCCCCCTCCCTTGGGGCCTGCCCATCTCCTGTCCTACACCCTCACCAGCTGGGCTTGCTCCTTCTTTGCTCTCAGCTCCAGAGTCAGCTTCTGGACCTGGTTCTGCAGGACTGTGTCCTGGCTGTGGGAGCTCCTGAGAGGAGGAGCAATCTTGGCTGTCCCCACCTCTGGGTTAGCAGCAAAGAATGGCCCACTGCCATCACACACTGGGGTGCACTGCAGCAGGCCAGAGCAGATCAGGCCCAGCAGGTCTGGGCAGGGGTAGCATGCCCAGTTAGGGTTGGTTAACAGCCTGGTAACTACTTCAGGGTTCAGGTGGAACATCAAGGCAGGCGAGGCCTAGGACTAGAGGCTGGTGTCAGGGAGAGGGCTGGCTCAGCTGTCAGGATAGGAGAGGAGCTAAATTGGGCTGACCTCTCAGGTGGGAGTCCTGCCACCTCCTGTAGGATGTGCTGCTGCCGGGCATCCTGGCCCTGCCAGATGGCCCACCGCAGGGCCTGGATCTCTAGTTCTCGCTGCTCCCACAGCAATCGTAGGGTACAGGGGTCCAGGGCTTCCAGGGCCAACCTACAGTGCCAACATCCCACCACACCATTAGGTCTGGCCCACTGGATGACTCAGCCCAGGAGGCTGGCCACCCACCCTTCTCCTCTTACTTTGTGCTGATGGAGCCCACCCCTGTGGAGGGTGGCCTGGTGTTTCGAGAGCATGAGGAAGCCATGGTGTCTGTAGATATGGTGGCTGGAGGTCCAGAGTCATTGCCAACTGGCTCCCTTCCTGCCAGGGCTAGTGGCACCTGCTCCTCTTCAGACTCCTGGCCAGGCTCGGGGGCCATACTAGAAGTAGATGGGAAGCTAAGGGGCAGCAGGGCCCAGTCTGCCATTGGGTTCTCCTTATGTGTTAGAGAACCAGGCAGCATGGCCAGGTCCTTCCTCTCTGAGGAAGCCCAAGGAGATGGCTAGGGAATGGGACTGCCAGCCACACAGGTGTCCCCAGTGTGTCTACTTCCCCTGATGTCTTCTTTTTTGGGGGTACCAGGACCTTGCGCTTGGGAGGCAGGCACCTCTGAGCTAAATCCCCAGCCCCCTGATGTCTTCTTTATGCCCTCTGCGCTCAGCCGAGGGCAAGGTCCAGAGATGCTGGCTCTTTGCCTGTGATCCTTACTCATGTCCCCCCAATTTAAGGCCTTACCACAGCTCACCTGGTTGGAGCTCCTATCAGGCTTGAGGTAGGAAGGGTTCTATACCGTTGCCCCGGCTACAGATACCCAAAAAGGGGCGGGGCCGTTTATTACCTTCAGCCTCCAGGGAGACCCCAGCACAGTTCAGGAGCACAGAGATGTGAGAGGCTGGCACACTGCCTGGCTAAGCTGAGCCACCAGGCCTGTAGTCCTGGCCTGACTAGAGTGATGGGTGTGTATTCAGGGCATTACCCACACTGGGTGGGGAGCCCAGGGTGGGTGAGGGTATGTCCCGAGATGGCAGGGAGTGGGCCCTGAACTGACTTGGGGGGACTGAAAATGATCATGAAAAGCCAAGCGAGGTCAGGGCTGAACCCCACACATGGAGTCAGGCCTCGGCGGCTGGCACTCAAAACTCTCCAACCCATCTCCACTCTCCCTGGGCACCGGAGGTCCACTGCGAGCCCTGGGGACAGTCATTTCCTCTGACCAAGTCAGTGTGGAGCACTCCAGATGTGAGTCACCTGTCCTGATCACTCACATCTTCCACCTCTGTGCCCCCCTCTCCCTCCAGACAGCAGGGATGGGCTGGGGAGAGGCTCCAATCCTCTTCACACAAAGGCCTGGGGGCCACACCTCAGGAAGGAGCCTCAGACAAAGAGCCTGGAGCTTGGTCCCGGCCGCTTCGGGGTGCCCCCTCCCTCACCAGGGCTCCAGCGCGCACCAGCGCCAACCCATGAGCTCTTTGGGCCCTCAGGACTCCGCCTCATTTCGGAGGACTCACTGTCCCCCAAAACCTGGTCGCCAGATGTAAGAGAGCAGGGTCGGGGGAGCCCAGTCTCTGGAGGGGAGCCGGGGAGAGTACGGAAAGGAGAGGAGGCTCTGGCCCCGCCACTCCGGGGACTCACTCCCAGGGC